AGCACTTCGGGATGCCAATGTGGGCAGACCACCTGTGGTCAGGAGTTCGAGACCAGCTTGGCCAACATGGTGAAACCCCGTCTCTACTAAAAATACAAAAAAATTAGCCGGACATGGTGGTGGGTGCCTGTAGTCCCAGCTACTCAGGAGGCTGAGGCAGGAGAATCACTTGAACCCGGGAGGTGGAGGTTGCAGTGAGCTGAGATTGCCTCACTGTACTCCAGCCTGGGTGACAGAGCAAATTCCATCTCAAACAAAACAAAACAAAAAACAAAAATCGAAAATCAAAAAACAAAAAACTGCTGGTGGGCTGGGTGTGGTGGCTCACTCCTGTAGTCCCAGCACTCTGGGAGGATCGCATGAACCCAGGAGTTTGAGGCTGCAGTGAGCTATGATGGCACCACTGCACTCCAGCTTGGGCATCAGAGTGAGACCTTGTCATAAATAAATAAATAAATAAAGGGAAGGAAAGGAATAAGAAAATAGAGAAAAACTGCTGGTGGATGAACAACAGCCTCATTCAGTTGACTTCTTTTTCCTTCACCAAGACTGACTGGAGCTCTCCCGTGTCGGCTCGTAGCCCAGAAGGTGAAGAACCTGCTGTGGGGCCAGGGCTTCCCAGATTATGTGGCCCCTTTTGGAAATTCGCAGGCCCAGGATGTGCTGGACTGGGTGCCCATCCACTTCATCACCCAGTCATTCAACAGGAAGGTAAAGGGGAGAAGGTGCAGGTTCCATGCTAGCAGTCTCTCTCTTCCAGGTGGTGTGATGAAGGCAGCTGGGGAAGCCAGCTGTTAAGGAGGCAGGATGGTTCTGAGTGGGAGCATGTGCTGAATCTTGGATACTGATTTTTGCCCCTTGTTAGCAATGTTGTCTCTGGCTGGCAGTTTTATGGCTTTGAGCCTCTGTTTTCATCTGTGAAATGGGAACGCTAGTCATAGTGGGTGAGTGGCCTCATGGAGCATTGAGAGGGTTAAGTGAGGTAACATTTATGTGGCCCTGGGCATGGTGCCTAGTGGTCCATAAATGGGAACCACTGTGATCCTCATCCTGTTGCTACCATCATTGTGATTGTTGGTGTCCCTCGAGCCCTCTCCAGGCATCTCATGACACGATAGACGAATGTTGAGTCCTGTATCAAAGACTGAGACTTCCTTCCATGCACGTGGCTATCCCACCCATTGTCCTCTGGTCTACCCAGGCAGCCTACACCTCAGAGTTTTCACTGCCACAGTTCCTCACAGAGTTGAATGGAAGTTGACAATCCTACAGATAGGTTCCTGGTCACATGTGATGCTTCTGCCCACCTTTTTCTTTTGTCTTAGCAGTCAGTGTGTGGGCCAGCCCTGGCCCGGAGGCGTGCTCTCCATCTTAGCCTGTAGTTGCCCAGCTTGTTCTTGTCATGCTTTCTTCAGACCTCTCATTATCTGCTCCGAGTATTTCTAGCATGGGCATAACAGGGATGAGGACTGCTCACTTTTCTGATCCACCCTCCCACCGAGGCCAGCAGAGACCCAGGATTACTCCATTCCACTGCGAAGTCTTGGCTCAACTCTCCCGCCAGAACCAGGCACATTGCTTCTGGCTTCTTGGCCATGGCTGAAGACATGCAGTTATTACTCCTCAGAAGGGAAGATACGGGTCGGGAGGAGAGGCAGCAGTGCGCACACAGCATTGTCAGGGTCTGTGCTGATCCTGAATGCTCAGAGGGCCTGCAGCAGTGGGTTTTGTACCAACTCTGCTGGCAACCCAGGTAGAGGCAGACACGAGCACCTGCTAAACTCAGTTTCCACCAGCTGCATGCTGCATCGTCTCCTAAGAACTGGATATTCGAGAGGATTGTTCAGCCTGCACGGTTTTTAAAGGCAGTTCCAAGCTAAGGAATTCCATTAGTGCTTTTTTCGCAGCCACCAAATTTAGCAGGCCTGTGAGGTTTTCATGTCCTGAAGAGATGTATTTTAAACCTTTTTTTTTTTTTTTTAATGAAAACATGTCATACATACACAAAAGTAGAATAGTACCATGGAGTCCCCATGTACCCAGCCTGCAGCTTCAACAGTTACCACATTTGCCAACTGGAGAGACTGCAAAGGCAGGAAAAAGTCCTGGAAGTCCCACGGCCCCTTTTTCCCTTGGGTCAGAGGCCTTAGAGTTGGCTCCCAAAGCAGCCAACCAAATGGGCAGCTCAGCTCCTTCATGGCACCAGCAGCGTTCCTGGTGCAGATGAAGAGTTGATGTCTTTGACAACATACTGACACTGCCTGGTTACCCAAATGTCACATCTTAAGTGCCAGTTGATGAAATTAGATAAATGAGAAGGCATTTAAATTTCCCCTCAGAGCATTTTAACATGACATGCAATCAGGTTTTATTTGTCTGCTAATAATTATTTCTTCCCCTCCATCCCTCCCACCAGTTTCTTTCCTGAAGTCTGTGAGGCAGGTGTAAACAGGTAGATGAAGTTAGAGCAGTTATGGCCCTAAAGGGTCCACAGTTGAATATCGGCACTACTGCAGTTTCAGGTGATGTCGACTTTTTTAGAAATAGAAGGGGGCCGGGCGCGGTGGCTCAAGCCTGTAATCCCAGCACTTTGGGAGGCCGAGACGGGCGGATCACGAGGTTAGAAGATCGAGACCATCCTGGCTAACCCGGTGAAACCCCGTCTCTACTAAAAAATACAAAAAACTAGCCGAGCGAGATGGTGGGCGCCTGTAGTCCCAGCTACTCGGGAGGCTGAGGCAGGAGAATGGCGTAAACCCAGGAGGCGGAGCTTGCAGTGAGCCGAGATCCGGCCACTGCACTCCAGCCTGGGCCACAGAGCGAGACTCCGCCTCAAAAACAAAACAAAACAAAACAAACAAACAAAAAAAGAAATAGAAGGGGATGGAAAAATTACGCTTCAGTTGTTAAAAATATTTTTGGGGCATTGAGTTACTTTAAAATACGTACTTTCTGTAAGCTGTTTTTATCTGAACTACTAGAGTCTATTCATTTTCTTGTTCAGAACATTTTGTAATATATGAAACCTTTTCTAATTAACACTCTGAACTGCAGATTAAGTCTGACTTGTGGTTGTGTAAGATTCTAATGGATTAACAGCATTCTGTTTTGCAGGATTCCTGCCAGCTCCCAGGGGCTTTGGTTATAGAAGTGAAGTGGACCAAATACGGATCCCTACTGAATCCACAGGCCAAAATAGTCAATGTAACTGCAAATCTAATTTCATCCTCCTTTCCTGAGGTAGGTCTAACCTAGTTTAAAGGCGTATGTTAAGACAGAAGTCTAGACGCAACTCAAGTGTGGTAGGTGACAGGTATTACTTTGTGTAAAAGATTATAATTTAAACCATGGGGGTTCATAAAATACTTCAGCATTCTTTTACTTAGAAGGAAACACTGATGATGGTTCTATTTATATTAGCATTCTGGTTTCGATTAGATCTTTAAAATTCTCATGAAAATTATGACTGATATTCATGTGTTAATCAGACACCCTGGTAAAATTGTTTCCCTCATCCAAGTTAATGGCTGATTAGTGCTCCAGGATCTATCAGATTCATGAACTGACAGTGGTTGAGTGAGGAAGAGAATGAAAAGTGTCTCATTGTTGTCATTCTGGGAGCACACTGGAGGGTGGGCCTTGCTCTCTCTGTTTATTACAGGCCAGCTCAGGAAATGAAAGGACGATTCTTATTTCTACTGCGGTTACTTTTGTGGATGTGTCTGCACCTGCAGAGGCAGGCTTCAGAGCTCCGCCAGCCATCAATGCCAGGCTGCCCTTTAACTTCTTCTTCCCGTTTGTTTGACGTAAGTCATCACTTGAGGAAACTACGCCCCTCCTCTGAGGTCATCCCCTGTGGAAAGTGCATGTGAGGCTAGAAGTCCCTAGGGGACACTGCATTTTATACTTTTTGAGGGTCTTGCTTTGTCACTCAGGCTGGAGTGCAGTAGTGTGATCATGGCTCACTGCGGCCTTGACCTTCTGGGCTTGAGTGATCCTCCCACCTCAGCCTCCTAACAGCTGGGACTACAGGTACACACCACAACACCTGGCTAATTTTCTTTCCTTTTCTTTTTTTTTTTGAGGCGAAGTCTCGCTCTGCCGCCCAGGTTGGAGTGCAATGGCCGGATCTCAGCTCACTGCAAGCTCCGCCTCCTGGGTTCACGCCATTCTCCGGCCTCAGCCTCCCGAGTAGCTGGGACTACAGGCGCCCGCCACCTCGCCCGGCTAGTTTTTTGTATTTTTAGTAGAGACGGGGTTTCACCGTGTTAGCCAGGATGGTCTCGATCTCCTGACCTCGTGATCCGCCCGTCTCGGCCTCCCAAAGTGCTGGGATTACAGGCTTGAGCCACCGCGCCCGGCCAGCTAATTTTAATATATTTTATAGAGATGGGGTCTTGCTGTGTTGACCAGGCTGGTCTCAAACTCCTGGGCTCAGGTGCTCCTCCTGCCTCAGCCTCTGAAAGTGCTGAGATTACAGGTGTGAGCCACCATGCCTGGCCTTATTATACTTCTAACCTTTGAGGTTGCCTCCAAACCAGCACACTGCCCTTCTCCACCCCCTTCCCACCTTTTTTCCTTTTGGAAATGTTATTCTGTCTGACTTTTGAATGGGGAATACACTTAACACATAGGTCATAGATAGAACCCAAAAAGTCTTTGGGGAGATGGTAAAGAAAATGAATAGGCCTTGAAGCAGCAGAGGCATGGGGGATTTGGCCAGTTCATTCATCCCCTGCTTTGAGTTATTTAAAAAATATTCAGTTCAGGTTTTTTCCTTTTTAGGTCTGGTTGCAGTGAGTACAAAAAATAGCAATATATTAGATAAAATCGTGCGAGAAGAGTACACAGCCTTGCAAGGGATCTTCGCCTAAGTACCATGTTAATTATAGTGGAGTCTTGGGTCTTATTGCCATTTCTGCACCAGGCACTATAGCTAGCTTGCTCTCTGACTGGCAGGCTGGTATGGATGCCACAGAGGAAAGAATACAGTAGGAGGATCCAGGGGAAAGAGAGAGTTTATTTTATACAGTAATTGTACAGTAATTGAGGAAAAATATCAGGTGGCAGAACGCAATGGAGCCACCTAGAAGCTGGCTGATGCAGCTGGGGCACACAGAGGAGGGGCCTGGGTACCCCTTTTGGGGAAACTGAGACAAGGGAAGCTATTTAGAACAGCTTGAAAATAAGAGACTTTTCTAGAATGGGGTGGCAGCTAAAGTAGCTTCTTTTTCTTTCTTTCAGAATGCTCATATGAAAGGATGCATCAATTCCTTAATATACATGTGAAATTTGAAAACTGTACATTCGATGCGACTAAATTTTATATACAACTAGAAATTGTCCAGCTTTGTTGCTCATTTTCAAGCAAGGCTAAAGTGTTCAACATGAGAAAATGTGATACCTTTGACACAGTGTGGGGTGGGAATGGATGGGCAGCTCTTGGTGGTACTGGACCTTCCACAAGGCTGTGTCCACCCAGAATCCATGCTGGCAGGAGGGAGGCAGAGGCATCAAACCAAACCTCTCACCAGGTGGCCCAGGAGGGGCAGCTGTTCCTCACGTGACAGCACAGGCCCATGAGGCAGTGTCTTCTCTGCGGGGAGCTGGTCTGGGTCTAGTTCACTTCACCAAGAAGTCCATGCTGTCGCAATAGCTTGTTAAGTCTTTCAATTTCTTGTTCCTATTGCAAAAGCAGACAAACACTGGAATTTACTTTGAGCCTCGCCAGGGATGTGACAATCATTCAGTAAGCCCCAGGCACACAGCCACAGAGATGAATGAAAGCTACACTCTGTGGCATTCAGTCTGCTGAGGAGACTGCTACAATTATAGGCTCCACTGAGCAGCAGTGACAGCAGTGAGAAGACAAAGGTGGGGGACCTGGCAGAGCCCCGGGGTGTGGGAGTGGGCACAGCTTCAGGGAGGATGTGATGCCTGGGCTGGATCTGAAAGGACAAGGCAGGCTCAGCCCAGGGAAGGGCGCTCTAGGTGCATGAGCAGCGCTGTGCTGCAGGCGGCTGCTGCAGCAGAGGCCAGCTTCTCAGATGTCTTTTTGTTGTTGTTGTTGTTGAGACAGAGTTTTGCTTTTGTTCGGGCTGGAGTGCAATGGCGCAATCTTGGCTCACCGCAACCTCTGCCTCCCAGGTTCAAGCGATTCTGCTGCCTCAGCCTCCTGAGTAGCTAGGATTACAGGCATGCGCCACCACGCCCGGCTAATTTTGTATTTTTAGTAGAGACAGGGTTTCTCCATGTTGGTCAGGCTGGTCTCGAACTCCGGACCTCAGGTGATCCACCTGCCTCAGCCTCCCAAAGTGCTGGGATTACAAGCATGAGCCACCATGCCTGGTCCCCAGATGTGTCTTACCTTCTCAGAGCAGCTGAACTCAAGGTGTTGAATCTTGGCGGCCAATTGTACATTCATCTGTTTTAACCTTAAGAGTTGCCGTTCTGAACGTGTCTTAACTGAGATGATAATCCCTGAAATAAAATTGGGGGTCTCAGTGATACTGGTTTCTAACTTAACCACTGAGGGAAAAAATCTGTATTCTTATACCCATATAGTGTTGGGAGGAGTGGTGACGGACACACGAGACAGTCATCACTTTAGGGCATCAGAGATGGGAAGTCAGGGTTTCATGCCTGAGCTACTTAGTCCCTAGTTATGCAATATCTCTCTATAGCTGTTATGGCTGAGAAATCCTTAAAAATAATTGCTGACAAGATGAACATTAGGCTTCTTAACCTAGAACCTGTTCACAATCATATGGGTGCATAGCAGCAGTGTGCACAGATACCACGAAAGCACAGGCTGGGAAATGCCCCCTTTCTCCATAACAGGCATCTTCCGTAGGAACTCAAAGGCTTTTTTTCTTTCCTTTGACAGAGTCCAGTTTTTTTTTTGTTTTTTGTTTTTTTGAGATGGGGTCTCGCTCTGTCACCCAGGCTGGAGTGTGGTGGCACAATCTTGGCTTACTGCAGTCTCCAAATCCTGGGCTCAAGCGATCCTCCCACCTCCGCCCCCCCCAGTGGCTGGGACTACATGTGTGCACCACCACACCCAACTGATGTTTCTATTTTTTTTTTTTTTTGTAGAGACAGGGTTTCACCTTTGTTGCCCAGGCTGGTCTTGAACTCCTGGGCTCAAGTTATCCTCCTGCCTCAGCCTCCCAAATTGCTGGGATTACAGGCATGACCACTGTACCCAACCGTTTCATTTTATTTGCTTGACATAAACCTGCTCATAACCAGCTCCTAAAAGGGCTGAAGAGGAAGAAGGGAGGAGAGGGAGGTGAGGGGGCAGTGGGGAGGCCTCCATAATGGGAGCCACTGTGAGCTCAGGCGCCCAGAGTGACTGTGCCGCCAGGCCTTGGATGTATGCCTGAGCCCCCGCTCTCCATCCACAGCCTGGGAGTGCACGAGACGTACCGTTGATGATCCGGGCCACCCGCCACAGCCGAAGCAGAATCAGCAGGCCCAGAGCCTCAAACTCGTGCTCCTGGAACAGGAGGACAACGTCGAGGACGAATGAGACCACCACCACGACGGCATCCAGGATCTCAAACTTGTGGTGAAAGAACTCCAGGCGGAAGACAAATAATTTAAACGTAATCTCCATCATAAAAAAGACCAAGATGGTGATGCTCATGTAGTGGAATATCTAAAGGGGACAAGGAACCACAGTCAGGGGAGATCGGGCCTCTGGGAGGTCAAGCTGCCCTCGCATGCGCCTGCCTGGTCACCAGCAAGAGAATTCATCTGTTGGACAAATCCAGATGCCCGGTGCTGGAAACACAGCTGTGAACACCACAGATGAGGCACCTGCTCTCTAAAGGGCAATTAGGCAATGTCGGAATTAAAGCGTCCTCCAGACCCTTTGGACCAGCAATTCCGTGGCTAAGAACTTATCCTACAGCTGAACTCCCGTGTGCACAGGGACTAAGGATATTTACTGCAGCACTGTTTGCAGAGCAAATATTTTCTGCATTGTTTGTAAGACAACAGAAATGTCCATTAGACAGAAATGTCCATTAGAAGGTACTCTTAAAATGAATGGTGGCACCTCCATATGGGGCCCTAAGGACACAATTGTTAAAAAGATTAAGCTGGGTGTGGTGGCTCGAGCCTATAGTCCCAGTTACTCAGGAGGCTAGGTGGGGCCTCCTGCCCAGAGCCCAGTTTGAGGCCAGCCTGGGCAACACAGCAAGACCCCATCTCTAAAATAACTGAATGAATGAATGAATGAATGAATGAATGGAGGCAGATCCATATGTTCCAATTAGGAGTGATCACCAAGGTAAGTGAAAAGGGTTCCGAGATCTTGATCTAGTCCTGGCTGGGCACAGTGGCTCATGCCTGTAATCCCAGCACTTTGGGAGGCTGAGGCAGGTAGATCACTTGAGGTCAGGAGTTTGAGACCATCTTGGCCAACATGGTGAAAACCTGTCTCTACTAAAAAAAATACAAAAAGTGAGCCAGGTGTGTTGGTGCACGCCTGTAGTCCCAGCTACTTGGGAGGCTGAGACAGGAGAATTGCTTGAACCCAGAGGACAGGTTGCAGTGAGCCGAGATTGCACCACTGCACTCCAGCCTGGGTGACAAGTCAGACTCTGTCTCAAAAAATAAAAATAGGCCGGGCACGGTGGCTCAAGCCTGTAATCCCAGCACTTTGGGAGGCCGAGACAGGTGGATCACAAGGTCAGGAGATCGAGACCATCCTGGGTGAAACCCTGTCTCTACTAAAAAAATACAAAAAACTAGGCGGGCATGGTGGCGGGCACCTGTAGTCCCAGCTACTTGGGAGGCTGAGGCAGGAGAATGGCGTAAACCTGGGAGGCGGAGCTTGCAGTGAGCTGAGATCAGGCCACTGCACTTCAGCCTGGGCGACAGAGTGAGACTCCGTCTCAAAAAAATAAAAATAAAAATATAAATATAAAATAACCAGTCCTCACACCAAGATAACCATTTCCAGATCTGCGGCAGGGAAGGTACAATGTGGGCAAGGATGTCTTCAAAGACATCACAGAGTCATGTCAACAGGACCCAGCAGTCAGCTTGAAGAGGTTCACAGTGACAACATTTGGGGCAATCTGAACATTGAAAAGAATGACTAAGATTGATTGTAACACAGTGAATAAAAAAAAATTCACAGTGCAGCACATACACCCATGCACACGCACACACGTGGGAAAACAGGGAAGTGCCTTTTTATAGAAGAGTACCGACTACTAAATGTAGAAGGAAAGACAGAATTAGAAAATCACCATTCTGCATCCCCTAGTGTAGTCACTGACTCAGGCAAGGATCACCAACAGATGCCAACTGGGGAAGAGGATATTTGCATGCTACCAAAGGAGTACCGGGCAGATCATTTACCACTGCAACAGGAAAAATGCCCCTGGCCAGTGGAGCTGTCCAGCATTTACTACCTAAATCAAGTGACCCAACTGAGTGGGACCCCTGGCGTGTGCCTCCTGAAAATGCCACCTCCAGAACATCGCCCGCCAATGAGGACTCCCTGCTGATCAAGCCCTGGACCTAACCGTGGTGTGCAGGAAATAAGGCAGGAGACCTCAAACTCATCAGACAAATCCAGAACATGGGACATTCTATTGGCTGGGCTCTTCCAAGAGTCATGGTCATGAAGGAAAAAGAAAAGCAGGAGGATTTATCTAGATTAAGAAAGCCCAGGGAGGCTGCGTGTGGTGGCTCACGCCTGTAATCCCAGCATTTTGGGAGGCCAAGACAGGATTGCTTGAGCCTGGGAGTTCAAGACCAGCCTGGGCAACACAGGGAAACTCTTTCTCTATAAAAAAATTTAAAAATTAGCTAGGTGTGGTGGTGCATGCCTGTGGTTCTAGTTACTCAGGAGGCTGAGGCGGGAGGAAGGCTTGAGCCCATGAGGTCAAGGCTGCAGTGAGCTGTTAGTGCTACTGCACTCCAGGCTGGGTGACAGAACAAGACTCTGTCTCAAGGAAAAAAAAAAAAAAAAAAAAAAAAAATTCCAAGGAGACACAACCAAATAGAATATTGGAATTCTCTATCCTAGTTTGAAAAAAAGTGCCATTAAAGACATTCTTGGGCTGGGCATGGTGGCTCGTGCCTGTAATCCCAGTACTTTGGAAGGCTGAGGTGGGCAGATCACTTGAGGTCAGGAGTTTGATACCAGCCTGGCCAACATGGTGAAGTCTCGTCTCTACAAAAAATACAAAAATTAGCTAGGTGTGGTGGCGGGCACCTGTAATCCCAGTTACTCTGGATCCTGAGGCAGGAGAATCGCTTGAACTCAGGAGGCGGACGTTGCAGTGTGATGAGATCGTGCCACTGCACTCCAGCCTGGGCGATAGAGACTCTGTCCCCCAAAAATAAAAAGAGACATTTGGGATGAGTGAGTGAATAAAAGTGGTTGTTAGGTGGGACTATTGATCTTATTTTAGGTCTGATGATGCTCTCATGGCTCCACGGGAGAAAAACCTTATTAGGCATGTTGAAGTATTTAGGAGTGAAGGTTTGTGACGTCAAATGGTCAGATGGAAATGTGTGTGCATCTGTGGGGATATATAGTGACAAAGCAAACAGCAAAATGTGTCCTTGCCATTTTTCATAATAAAAAGTTGAGAGAAAAAAGACAATATGGCAGGTATGTTAATGGATTCTATTAAAAATAGAGGAAGAGAGCCAAGTGCAGTGTCGCACACCTGTAATCCCAGCACTTTGGGAGGCAGAGGTGGGTGGATCGCTTGAGCCCAGGGGTTCAAGACCTCAGTCTCTGAGAAACATGAAAGCAATTATTTAGGAGAAATTAGATGGACAGGGAAGATTCTCCTTTCATGCCGGCATAGGAGATGTCACTGGGCTGCCTCTGGGAAAGGTACCAGGAAGAAGGAGGTTTAACATTTCCTTCTGCCTTTTTCACTACTTGCAAAGACATATATTTGCATATCAATTCCATTTTGTTTTTCCAAAAACGGGCATGGCGGGGGTTGGGGACTGGAAATGCTTTCTTTTTTTCTGGAGACGGAGTTTTGCTCTTGTTGCCGGGGCTGAAGTGCAGAGGCGCTATCTCGGCTCACTGCAACCTCCGCCTCTGGGGTTCAAGTGATTCTCCTGCCTTGGCCTCCTGAGTAGCTGGGATTACAGGCCTGCGCCACCACGTCCAGCTAATTTTTTGTATTTTCAGTAGAGATGGGGTTTTATTATGTTGGCCAGGCTGGTCTTGAACTCCTGACCTCAGGTGATCCACCCACGACCTCAGGTGATCCACCCACCTTGTCCTCCCAAAGTGCAGAGATTACAGGTGTGAGCCACTGCGCCCAGCCAGGGATGATTTTAACTCTCCTGATCTCCTCCCTTGGCACCGATACAGGGTGTGTCCACCACCCTTTGCCTGAACATCTGGGATGGGCTCAGTAACTGAATCAGTGAATAAACAGCATATCCCCTGACGGCCCAGCATGGGGACCATGCAGACCATCAACAGAAGACAGGAGAAATGCCCCTCCTGAGCCAGAGATGGCAGAGTGGATCCACCCCACATGCTCACTAGCCTAGCATCGCCCAGGATTCCAGCCATCATGTGAAACAAGGTTTCCTGCTTGTAGTAAATGCTAATCCATAATCTGGAAAGGAAGATGAAAACACCTATTAAACTACCACAGACCTTGCTACTCCAAGTGGGGTATCAGCTGCTCCACTCTGCACCCCTACTGTGCAGATAACACAAGCAAAACATATCAGTAAGACCCCAGAAGAGCTGTCAACCCCTACCATGGCGGCATAGTTATTCTTGTCGGGCTGGATGATCTTCAGGTCCAGGATGAGCTCAGCAAGCACCAGGAGGGCGTCCAGAACCACCAAGCAGATGACGATGACCTGCGGGCCGAGGGAAGGCACCAGAGACCATGAGACCCATATGGAGGCCCTCCCTCTTCCCACGATTAAGAGCTGGCTTGGAAGCACGTGGGTGAAACCACTGGGCAAAGCCATTAAGGGTGGGAGGCTATTGCTATAGCTCGCCAGAGGCCCCACAGGGATGGTGGCTGCGCAGGGCCAGCTCCTCTCTGATAGAAGCCACCAGCCTCCTTCCCGCCACCCTCCTGGCCTGCTCTGCCTCTAGGTGGTGCCCACCTTCCCTGCCCTCCCAGAACATGTCTGGCTCATTTTCTGACCCTTGGTCACTGTTTCTCAAATACCACCTCTCAAACCAAACTGCCCATACCTAGATGGCAACAAATAATCAGTTTTTAAGTGTGTGTGTGTGTGTGTGTGTGTATATATATAATTTTTTTTTTTGAGACAGCCTCGTTTTGTCGCCCAGGCTGGAGTACGATGGCATGATCTCGGCTCACTGCAACCCCCACCTCCTGAGTTCAAGCAATTCTCCTGCCTCAGCCTCCCGAGTATCTGGGATAACAGGCACACACCACCATGCCTGGCTAATTTTTGTATTTTTAGTAGAGATGGTGTTTCACCATGTTGGTCAGGCTGGTCTCAAGCTCCTAACCCCAACTGATCCACCCACCTTGGCCTCCCAAAGTGCTGGGATTACAGGCGTGAGCCACCGCGCCCAGGCAAGTTTGTATTTTTCTATTCCTGGGGCCTGCTGTTGCTGGGGTGCTCACAGAACAGATGCTCAATAAATAACTCAACACAGCCCTGCCTCAGCAGTCTGAGTCCTGGAAGGGACCTTGGGGACTGCCGACTGCAGGCTCCTCAGCTACAGGGATGGCTGCTGTGCTTACAAACCAGCTTCTGCCCGGAGATGTGAGGTGCCTGCCCCAGCTCACGTGTGCCCACAGTGGGTGAAGAGGGTGAAGGGGAGAGGAGTCCCGGTGTCCTGGAGAATTGAGGAGAGCTGTTATGGGAAACACAACCTCGTGGGCTTTGTGATGGGCTGACAGAGGACAGGTGGGGAACAGTGTGGAGTGGGTGGGTGGTCTCACTGATGGCAGCTGTGGGAAGCAGCTGGTAGTGATGGCAGTCATGGTGACAGCTGGTGATGATGTTGGCGAGGGCACTGATGGCAGGGTGAAGGTGACAGCGTTGGGGATACCATAATGGCAGTGGAAATGTAGCAGTGGGAGGAGCCCCACAGGACTTTGAGTGACCCTTCTGTTCCCTTGGAAATTCCGGACCATCGCCATCCCCTGCCATTCGCACTCTCAGATCAGTCGATTCTGGCCTCTGAAAATTAATCTGCCACTATCTTGGCAATTTCTGCAGTTTCAGTTTAAAATTAAACAAGTTCAGGCCTCTGCAAGAACAGACTATTAATTCTTTGATCCTTTCAACCTGTAGGTAATTATTTCAGTAATTAAAGTATTCTATGATGTGGTTTGTTGTGAAAATTGCATGGCAAATTGCCTTATAATGAAGTTTTCACACATTCCAAATTCAGCAAGCTTAATAAAGGTGCAGGCCTCTAGTGGGGTTTTTGTTGTTGTTTTTCCTTGGTTTTATTTTGGAACTAAAGGGATCTGAGAGCTCATATGAGGTAAAACCAAGCCACAGAGCTACAAGGAACAGACCCAATATTCAGCCATGAAAAGGATGAGGTTCTGACCCACACTACTATGAAATCGTCATACTAAGTGAAAGAAGGCAGACAGAAAAGATCACACATTATATGATCCCATCTATACGAAATGTCCAGAAATGGCAAATCCAGAGACAGAATGCAGGTTCACAGTTGCCTGGGGCTGGGGGAGGGGGAATGGGGAGTGACTGCTAATGGGTACCAGGTTTCCATTTGAAAATGCTCTGGGGTCAGGCACGGTGGCTCATGCCTGTAATCCCAGCACTTTGGGAGGCCGAGGCGGGCAGATCACCTGAGGTCAGGAGTTCGAGACCAGCCTGGCTAACATAGTGAAACCCTGTTTCTACTAAAAGTACAGAAAATTAGCTGGGCATGGTGGCATGTGCCTATAATCCTAGCCATTTGGGAGGCTGAGGTAGGAGAATGCTTGAACCCGGGAGGCGGAGGTTGCAGTGAGCCGAGATCACATCATTGCAGTCCAGCTTGGGCAACAAGAGCAAAACTCCGTCTCAAAAAGAAAAAAGAAAAAAAAGAAAATGCTCTGGAAGTAGATAGTGGTGACTTGTACAACACTGTGGATGTATTAAATAAATCCCACAGAATCATTTACCTAAAAATGATTGTTACGTGAATCTCACCTCAATTTAAAAAACAATGCAAAAGAAAAATGAGAGACAGACCAACCCAAGGTCACAAAACTACGATGCCTGGATAATAACCCTGGCCTCTATGAAAATTCATCCCCGGGGCCCTGAATCTGCCAGTTCACAGGGAGTGTTGCTTCTGAGGGGAACCAGGTCACAAGGAAAATTGCTGAGAATTCAGAGAAGCTGCTTCATTCCAAATCCTCACCCTGGCAAAGACTGCAGAGTCCACGCTGTGGGGCGGCCAGTCCTGGGCTCAGCTCCCAGCTCCCCCATCTGCCTGGACCTTGGGCACATCTCTCATCGCTGGAACCTTCACTGTCCTCACGGGGAAAATGGAGTGGGCCACATTTTCTACCCCAGAGCAACAATGGGAGCATGATGTGAGTGAAGTATGAAGAGCGCTTAGCACAGGGCTGGCCTGCGGTACATGGGAATAAAAAAGCTCCCTGACTCCTGGGACCACCTTCCCTTGGCTCAACTCTGTCCTGTCATTCATGGCTTCCTTGGGCCCTGAATCACCCCCTGTATTCTCTCCCTTGGTGGTGCCATCCCATGTAAGAAGGGACCGCAGTTAACAATATATCAAGCACCTTGGCCATCTCAAACCACTCAAGAAAGGGATCCCAGGAGCTTCCTGGATGCCGATCCTACCTGCAGAAACCACAACCTCTGAGCCTCCCCGCCTACTCCAGTGTGGCCTCACTGCTGCCACTGAGTCCCTCTACAAATCTGATCCCCCACCCACACACTTAGAGCTTTCAAAGGTACCCCACAACCCGTGGAGGACCTTCCCTGGCCTCTTCTCTTGCCAATTGCCTGCTGGCAGCACCCACACCCAATCCACGTGCACCCTTCTCAATTCCTCCAATGCTGCAAGTCCTTGGCAAAGGAAGCCCCTCTACCTGGAAGCCTTCCACGCCATCCATCCACGGAGTTCACTCCTGCTCAGCATGCAGGTGTCACCTCCTCCAACTCCAGTCCCTGATCAGTCCCCCACCCCCAGGACCTCTCAAAGCCTCCCTCCTCCCTGAGGAGGGCTTCTCTCCATCTGTAAGCAATGTGTGTCTCAGTGATGGCTCCCATCATTCCTGCCTCTCTGCAGCCTGCCAAATCCTCAATGAGGGCAAAGATGTGTCTGCCACATTTGTCACTGTACACAGCAGGTGCTCAATAAGTGACTGTTGGGTAGGTGAATAAACATCTCCACTCACTTTATGACAGGCATTCGTCTTTTTCCCCAGCAGGAGTGTCTCTGGGGGTCCCAGCTCAGGGGCCAGTCCCCAGCCCTAAGCCCAGGGAGGAGGGTAACATCCTGAGGGGGCGGCCCAGGGCTCCCCTTGCAGCTGCAAGGAAGCTGGTTCCTTCCTTCTGCTCCTGAAATTGAGGGTTTGGGATTTCAACCCCCAACAACTTAATAGCATGTTTCCTTTCCCATCACAGCCACAGAGGAGCTGGGCCGCCAGGCGCTCTGGCATGTCAGCTCTCTTGCTTCGCTGCTTTCAGCCACACAAGAGTGGGGGAAAAAAAGACCAAAATAATTTTTTTTAATCTTTTACCCTGGAATAAAGTCAGTGATAGAAGATGCAAGGGCTGCATTTCTCTGCTTCCAGAAGAGGGACAGGCTCTAAGGAGGGAGAGGTCTATTTTGTTTGGGGACACCTGCAGTAGCATCCTCCAAATGCTCACCTTTGAGAACTGTGTGCTTCCCTGTGGTCCCCAGGCCTGTGCCCTCCCAGGACATGAATGGACTTCTAGGCACCCAGACGTAGGCTCTGCCATGTTGGGGTTGGGGATGGGGTCTAGAGAGGGCTGACCAGACTCCACTTGCATTTGTCCTTCAAAATCAGAAATGTCTTTCTAGACCATGTATGGTGGCTCACACCTGTAATCACAGCACTTTGGGAGGCCAAGATGGGAGGATCACTTGAGACCAGGAATTCGAGACCAGCCTGGGCAACATAGCAAGATCCTATCTCTTAAAAAAATAATAATAAAAGCCCTTCTAAATGGCAGGACATAGCCAGGCAGAGTGGCTCATGCCTGTAATCCCAGCACTTTGGGAGGCTGAGATGGGTGGATCACTTGAGGTCAGGAGTTTGAGACCAGCCTGCCCAATATGGTGAAACCCATTCTCTACCAAAAATACAAAAATTAGCCAGATGTGGTGGCGGGTGCCTGTAATCCCAGCTACTTGGGAGGCTGAGGCAGGAGGATAGCTTGAACCCAGGAAGCAGAGGTTGCAGTGAGCTGAGATCATGCCACTGTACTCCAGCCTGGGTGACAGGGCAAGATTCTGTCTCCAACCAATCAATCAATCAATCAGTCAATGGCAGGACAGTTGGCCGGGCATGGTGGCTAAGACCTGTAATCCTGGCACTTTGGGAGGCTGAGGTGGGTGAATCACCTGAGGTCAGGGGTTCAAGACCAGCCTGACCAACATAGTGAAACCCTGTCTCTACTAAAAATGCAAAATTAGCCAGGTGTGGTGGCAGGCGCCTGTAATCCCAGCTACTTGGGAGGCTGAGGCAGGAGAATTGCTTGAACTCCATAGAAAGTTCAGTTCCCTTCGCTTGTCTGTGAGGACCACCCCAGCTCTGCTTTCTCCCTGCAACCACACCTGGAGGCTATCAGCAGTGGGCTAACGCCAGGACAGCCAGGTATTTTGGGCATCACTCCACAAGAGAGACTGAGGCCCCCAGCAGGATGGGTCTCCATGAGGCAGGGGAGCCTCTGGCACTGAGTGTTCGCAGAGTGAACGGATGAGTGTTCTTTCTGTCTCTCTTATTTACCCTTTATTTACTTTGTGTGTGGTAAAATTTGCATAACGTAAAATATACCATTTTAAAGTTGGCATAAAATTTAGTGGCATTAAGTCCATTCACAAGGTTGTGTAACCATCACCACTATAATTCCAGAACATTTTCATCTCCTCAAATGGAAACACTCCCACTTGTGGCAGCCGCCAATCTGCTTCCTGTCTCTATGGATTTGCCTGTCCTTAGATGTTTTGTATCAATGGAATCTTACACTCTGGCCTTTTGTGTCTGGCTTCTTTCCCTCAGCACCATGTTTTCAAGGTTCATTCACATTGTGGCATGGATCAGCACTTCTTTGCTTTTGATGTTGGAATCATATTCCACTGTACGGATAGAACACATTCGATTTCACACTCATCCATTGGTGGACCCTTTCCTTTTGGATCATGACTCTTTTCTCCCTGACAACTTGAGATCTGCCTGCCACATGCCCAATGCAGTACAGGGTCCCCGGCACGTGGTAGGTGCTGGGCAAACACTCATAGAATGAATGAGGCAGTGGCCAAATGGGCTCAGCCTGGCCGCCTGCCTCACATTCCCTGATGGCTCTCCTGCCAGCTCTGGGCATCCCGGACTCCTGTCCCACTTACCTGAAACCTGTGGGAGATGAACAGTTTCCTCAACGTGCCCCTGAAGTCAAGGGGGGCTCTGGGCGCGGGGCCAGGGGCGGGGGCAGCGTCAGGGCCTGCAGCTCTGCCTTCCTCGCCTGAGGCTGGTGTAGGTGGCGGCTGCTCCTCCTCCTCCTCGTCCTCTTCATTCTCCCATTTCTTGTAGTTGATGTTCCAGGCATGGTAGTCGTCCCCTACGACCGTGAAGTGCTTTAAGAACTTGCTCATCCTCTCAGCGGGAGCCACCTTGGCCCTGCGGGTGACTGCCTAGAGGGCGGGGACAGAGAGCAGGAGCTTCAGGCAGGTGGCTCTGGGGCCCTCTGGGCCACTCAGAGCCCACATGGCCCAGGCCGGGCCAGGCCACTGCAGGTGAAGATGGTCCCGGGTGCTCAGAAACCCCTGCGAGCAGAGACCATGAGGTCACGGTGGTTTCTCGTGCTTTTATTTTTGGAATCCACGGTCTCGGTGTCTATGAGGCAACAGGAAACTCCTGCCCCCAGCAGGCCTGTCGCTGTGGTCTGGTTGGTGGTAACCAACGGAATCAGTACTGCAGCCTGGTCCCAAAACACCCGCTACAGGCCCACGTGTGAATACCGGAAGGGCCGCCCCAAGGTTCAGAGACATCACAACCTGGAAACTGGGGGGGCCAGTGGGCAGGGCGTGGGGAGGGGAAGCCAAAAGTAAAAGTACCCAGAGTTTCACAGAGAAGTCATGAGATCCCCACCCATCACGCCACACATCATGACAGGCGCGTGGCAGATGGACATTTTCCAAGTTCAGCCAGCGTTATTCACACAGACAGTTGTTTAAAGCAAAAGCAAATATTCCTGTGCCCTTTCTCCACTTTACCCACTTGCCCTACCAGGTATCAAATTTTACGTAAAGTTAAATAATTGAAATGTATAGGTATGAGTGCAAGAGCAGGCTACATGACTACTCATTGGGACTACTCCTACCTCATTGGGAAGAGAGAGCCCAATGTCCCTGAGGGAGCCTAGAGGAGATGGGGTGGCAGTCCAGACTCACGAGAAAGAAAGGCTGGAGAGGCTGGGACACCTGGCTTTCTCAATAGGAAAAAAAAATCCATTCCCCACCTTGCCCCCGACACAGAATACATCTGAGATGCACTTTCATCAATGTGTAAAGTGTATTTAAAAAGGAACAACTTAAAAAGTCTTAGGCCAGTAACTTCATGAGCTTAGGATAGGGAAGATTGCTTAAATAACACAAAACACCACAAAAAGTTTTTTTAAAAAAACATTATTTTTGGCCGGGCGCGGTGGCTCAAGCCTGTAATCCCAGCACTTTGGGAGGCCGAGACGGGCGGATCACGAGGTCAGGAGATCGAGACCGTCCTGGCGAACACGGTGAAACCCCGTCTCTACTAAAAAATACAAAAAACTAGCCGGGCGAGGTGGCGGGCGCCTGTGGTCCCAGCTACTCGGGAGGCTGAGACAGGAGAATGGTGTGAACCCGGGAGGCGGAGCTTGCAGTGAGCCGAGATCGCGCCACTGCACTCCAGCCCGGGCGACAGAGCGAGACTCCGTCTCAAAAAAAAACAAAAAACAAAAAACAAACAAAAAAAAACATTATTATTTTTTTTTTTGAAACACCGCTGGGCGCGGTGACTCATGCCTGTAATCCCAGCACTCATCCCATGGGCTAAGGCAAGTGGATTGCCTGAGGTCAGGAGTTTGAGACCAGCCCGGCTAACACGGCGAGACCCCATCTCTACAAAAAATACAAAAATTAGCTGGGTATGGTGGCGCATGCCTGTAATCCCAGCTACTCAGAAGGCTGAGGCCCCAGAATCGCTTGAAGCTGGGAGGCAGAGGTTGCAGTGAGCTGAGATCACGCCACTGCACTTCAGCCTGGGCGACAGGTTGAGACCTGTCTCAAAACACAAACGAACAACACAAAAGCAAACACAAAATCCATAGATTTGACCGCATCAAAACTATAAACTTTACTATGACACACACATACACACACACACACACATACACACACACACACACACACACAACCTATGAAGTTAAAAGACATACCTCAGACTGGGACACCACAGACTGGGATAAATATTTGCAATGTATTTGAAAGACAAAGACTTAGTAACCAGAATATATAAAGAAATCTTATAAACCAAAAAGAGAAAGAAAAACTCCATGGAAAACTGGGCAGTGGACGTTAACAGACAGGTCATGTAAGAGAAAACTCAAACAGCCAAGATGCTTATCCCCAATAATACTCAGAAAAACGCAGAGTGAAGTAACAACAGCACATCTTTTCACTCCTCAGGTTGGCAAGAGTCTTAAAATCTATATCAAATATTGGTGAGGGCGTGAAGCAATGGGGTCTCTTGACTACTGAAGTTCTATAGGCACCAGCACCATCGTTTTGAGGAGAAATTTGGCATGATCTTGTCAAGCTGAAATTGTGTGTATCTTTCTGAATGATCTAGTGATTCTATCCCTACATAGGGTCCAAAGAGAAACTTGGGCACATGTGCGCAAATTGGTGACATGTTCAAAAACGTTTATTGCAAATATTCACCTAGTTGGGCAGGTGTGGTAGCTCACACCTGTAATCCCCACACTTTGGAAGGCTGAGGTGGGAGGACTGCTTGAGCCCAGGAGCTGAGACCAGCCTGGGCAATATGGCAAGACCCTGTCTCTAGAAAAATAATAAAAAAAAATTATCCAGGCAGGGTAGCACACCTGTAGTCCCAGTTACTTGGGAGGCTGAGGCAGGAGGATTGCTTGAGCTTGGGAGGACGAGGCTGCAGTAAGCCATGTTCTCCAGCCTGGGCAACAGAGCAAGACTCTGTCTCAAAAAAGAAAAAAGAAAAAGAAAATTCACCTAAATGTGGGAGATAGAGGAATGGATATTCTCTGTTCATGTGATGGGACACTATACAGCAGTTAAAATGAATTAACTGCATCTCAGTATGTCACTGGTGATGCCCATGTGTACCCACTTGGCAGCACTGAACACGGTAGACCAATCACTTCTTTTTCAAACGCTTCCTTCAGTGGCTTCTAGGATGCCACAGTCTCCTGGTTTTCCTCCTACCTCAGTAGTTGTTTCCTGCTAGTTTCTTTTGGTCAGTGGATACTTTAGAGGAAGATCTTACATTTAATTTTCTTTTCTTTTCTTTTTTTAAAGAGGATCTCACTCTATCACCCAGGTTAGATGCAGGGGTGCAATCATAGCTCACTGCAGTCTTGAATTCCTGGGCTCAAGCAATTCTCCTGCCTCAACCTCCCAGGTAGTTCAGACTATGGCACACTATACTGTATCTGGCTAATTAAAACAATTTTTTTTTTAGAGATGGGGTCTTGCTATGTTGCCCAGGCTGGTCTTAAATTCCTGGGCTAAAGCAACCTTCCAGCCTCAGCTTCTCGAGTAGTTGGGATTACAGGTACGTGCCACTGTGCCTAGCTTACATTTAAGTATCAAGTACAACTGTATACCCAGCACCTAGAACAATGCCTCGCACTTAGCAGACACTCAATAATATTGAAATGTTTGTTAAGCAACAATGAATCTAGCAATGTGGATAGCTCCTAAAAAATGTTGATTATAAAAGAAAGATATGGAAGAATAAGAACAATGTCATAACACTTAAGCAAAAATGTTAAATACATGGAAAATATTATATACTGCTTTAGAATGTATAAAAGCATGAGTGTAAACATACACAAGAATGAGATTTCTGCTTCTGGCCTTATTACACTATAGAGTAACTAAACAGATTATCCCTCCTGCCATAACCAATTATAAAATTGGATAAAATATGTGAAATTTACTGTGATCCCTTAGAGAAGAAAAATGAATGAGGCACACCCCACAATCACCCTGCCTTTGTGCCTGGAGGTACTTTCTGGACTGTGAAGGCAAAGACTAGAGTTCAAAGCTATTGAGGCTCCCTCCCCTCAGGAATCTGCATGGCAATGTACCAGAAATAGGAAAGCTATGCAAAGGAGGAGATCCAAAAATATGGACTTTGGCTGAGTCCTAAACATCGTGTATATGGAACAAGATTTCATGAGGCAGGGAAAAATATAACTTTCAGGAAAAAAAAAACCCAAAAAACCTTGGGGTGCTGTGAGCTGAACAACTACCAGAGATTACATAGGACTGGGTTGGGAGATATGTGAGTTCCCAACAGCCAGAGTAGAGAGACCTTATTGAACACCCTAAGCATTCAGCAGAAATCCCAGAAAAATCATGGCCTTATAAGTAGACCTAATCTAGCTTTATAGGAAGGGCCACATTACACTCATCCCAACAAAGCTTAAAAATAAGCCTTGAAATGAACAAGCTGATACCCAGGTAAATTAACTGCCTGTTGGAACAAAACTCAATACTCTATTAGGAAGACAACAACATAAACTCAACCTCATAGATGCATACTGTCTGGCATACAATAAAAATTACTAGACAGATAAAGCTGAAAAATGTGGCCCACAACTAATAGAAAAATCAGCTAATAGAAGACTCAGAATAGTTGGGCGTGGTGGCTCACGCCTGTAATCCCAGCACTTTGGGAGGGTGAGGTGGGCAGATCGCCTAAGGTCGGGAGTTCGAGACCAACCTGACCAACATGGAGAAACCTCATCTCTACCAAAAATACAAAATTAGCTGGGCATGGTGGCACATGTCTCTAATCCCAGCTACTCGGGAGGCTGTGGCAAGAGAATTGCTTGAACCCAGGAAGCAGAGGTTGCGGTAAGCCGAGATTGCGCCATTGCACTCCAGCCTGGGCAACAAGAGTGAAACTCCATCTCAAAAAAAAAAAAAAAAAAAAGACTAAAAGTGGATAGAAATGATAGAACTGGCCAACAAAGACTTGAAAACAGATATTACAAAAATATATTCAAGAATTTCAAAGAAAACATAAACTTAATGAGGGAACAAATAAAAATCTTAATAGAGAAATGGAATCTACAAAAAAGATCCAGATGGCTGAGCACGGTGGCTCACTCCTGTAATCCCAGCAGTTTGGGAGGCCGAGGTGGGCGGATCACCTGAGGTCGGGAGTTTGAGACCAGCCTGACCAACATGGAGAAACCCCATCTCTACTAAAAATACAAAATTAACCAGGCATCGTGGCACATGCCTGTAATCCCAGCTACTCAGGAGGCTGAGGCAGGAGAATCGCTTGAACCCGAGAGAAGGAGGTTGTGGTGAGCAGAGATTGCACCATTGCACGCCAGCCTGGGCAACAAAAGTGAAACTCCATCCCACAAAAAAAGAAGGGGGAAAAAAAAAACCAACCCTGATCCAGATGGATATTTTAGAACTGAAAAGTATATATATGAAATGAAAAATCAATGGATGGGCTTAACGACTTATAACATATTACCAAAGAAAAGATCAACGAACTTAATAGAAAACATCAACTGGAAACACAGGGAGAAAAAAAGGCTGAAAGGAAAAATAAACAGAGCCCCAGGGACCATATCTACTAGTTTAACATACGTGTACCTGTAGTTCATGGCCCTCCAGGAATCGGCATGTCTCCTTCCCCACAGCTTCCTCGCCACACTCCAGCCACTCTTCTATCCCTCTGATGCTCCACACTGAACCATCATGCAGGCTGTTCCCTCAACCTGGAATGCTCTTCTCCCCACTCCGAGCTTTGCTTACTCTTACTTCTGCTTGAAACTTCAGTTCCTCAAAAATGTCAGTTCCTCAAAAAGACCCTCCCTGACCCCTAAAATCTAAATCAGTTCCCCTTCCATTTATAACTTCTCTTCCCACTTTTCCTTTGAGAGCCCTTATGCTAGTTTCTAACTAGAAACTGTTTTGTGCAGTCATATATTTATTCCTTCTCCCTCCTCACTAGCATTTACCCTCCATGAAGTCAGGGTCTGTGTCCCCCAATTCTTGTGTGACATATGACCTTGAGCAGAAGCCCATCATGCACCTGTTGGCTGAGGGCACTGATACCTCATCTCCCACGCTGGGCTCATCTCGGCCAGACCAAATGTCTCTGAACTCCCAGGGCTGGCCAGGGCCAGGGCCAGGGTATACTTAAGCTTTCCAGGCAGCCACTGGCCATAACTCCTTCTTTTTTTTTTTTTTGAGATGAAGTCTTGTTCTCATCCCCCAGGCTGGAGTGCAGTAGCACGATCTCAGCTCACTGCAACCTCCGCCTCCCAGGTTCAAGCGATTCTCCTGCCTCAGCCTCCCAAGTAGCTGGGATTACAGGTGCCTGCCACCATGCCTGGCTAATTTTTGTAATTTTAGTAGAGATGGGGTTTCACCATGTTGGCCAAGCTGGTCTCGAACTCCTGGCCTCAGGTGATCCACCCGCCTCGGCCTCCCAAAGTGCTGGGATTACAGGTGTGAGCCACCGTGCCTGGCCATAATTCCCTTTTTTGAGACAAGGTCTCGCTCTGTCACCCAGGCTGGAGTGTGGTGTGCAATCACGGTTCACCACAGCCTTGACCTCCCGGGATCAAGCGATCCTCCCACAAAAGCCTCTGAGTAGCTGGAACTACAGGCACATACCATCACACTTGGCTAATTTTTTATTTTTTGGTTTTTTTTGTAGAGGCAGGGTTTTGCTATGTTGCCCAGGCTGGTCTCAAACTCCTGGGCTCAAGTGATCCACCCGCCTCGGCCTCCCAAAGCGCTGGGATTACAGGCATGGGCCACCGCGCCTGACTCCATACTTTCCTTTGGAAACACCTTACCTGGCAGACAAGAGCAGCCTGTCCTATTTCTCAGTAGGGTGGGAACCTCAAGGTACTTTGCAAAAACCGCATTTATATTTTACAGAAGAGGAAATTTTTCTTTCTGAAACCTTGCAACCAGTGAAGAAGCAACTTTTAGTAATTTGGGATGAAAATATCTAGGGCACTCAGCAGAGCAGAAAACATTTCTGGTTTTCAGTCAAGAGTCTGTCATGCCAGAAGCAGAAAAGTTCCAGAAAAGGGCAAAGATAGGGCTAATCAAGAGAATGTGGTGGGCCTCAGCAGCTTCACCATGCACCCCGGACTCCTGGCATTCATGGACAGACTGATCCAGTGTGGCGCACAGAGCACCTACCTTGGTGCCTGGCTCGGAGCAGCCCCCAGCTCTGGAAGTGCCAGCTATGATTATCCCTTAACAACAAAAATTCGCCTGGGTGCGGTGGCTCACACCTGCAATTCCAGCACTTTGGGAGGCTGAGATGGGCGGATCACTTGAGGTCAAGAGTTTGAGACCAGCCTGACCAATGTGGCAAAACCCCATCTCTATTAAAAACACAAAAAACAGCCAGGCGTGGTGGTGGGCGTCTGTAATCCCAGCTACTTGGGAGGCTGAGGCACGAGAATTACTTGAATCCAGGAGGGAGAGGTTGCAGTGAGCCAAGATCACGCCACTGCACCCCAGCCTGGACGACAGAGTGAGACTGTCTCAAAAAAAGAAAACAAAAAGTCCTCAAACTCCTCTCCTCCAGCTTCATCACATCCTTGGATATTTCACTTCTCTGCCCACTGCCTGCCTCTGCATCCCTCAGGCTGTTAAGTTACATCAGCGGATACAGCCGCTTGGTGGCTTAAGTGACACTGAGCTGTGTTTCTGTCACTTATAACCCCAAAAGTCTACAGGTGGAGTTGCTGATGCGGGACACCCTCACAGCTCCATCTCCTGTGCAAGACTCCTTGCTGTCCCCACTGTACTCTGATGCTCCTCTGAGGTCACCTTTCCATATCAAAGCCTGTGACCGTGACTCCAGCCTGCCTGACTGTCCCATACTCTTTGACGCTGCTGAATCTGCTCTGCTTGGCAATCTCGCCCCCTGCTTCTCCTCCTATCTCTGGCTGCCCTCCTCAGCCTCCTGTACCATGTCCCTGCCCCGCACCAGGAGTCCTGGTGACCTCAGTCCTGACCCTGTCCTCGGGCCGGTGACTCTCTCTCTTTGGGGGTCTTAGCACACCTGTGTTTTCGATGCGGTTCACATTCAAATCAAAGACTCCAATCTGATGTTCAAGATCCTGCTGGGTCATTGGTTTGCTGTGACCCACTTGAACTGATTTCTTACCTTTCTCTCCCAGTCCACTCCTCCTTCCACATCCCCTAGGGCATGCTGTCACTTCCACCTGTCTGCCCAGGCCAAGAACAGAAAATCGTCCTTGGCTCCTCCCCCTCCCTCACACCCTATCGGTTTCACTTCCTGAACCCGGCTGGCACTCCATCGTCCCCTCTCCCTCCCCAGAGCCTGCCCTGACCCTCCCTCCACCTCCCTGTGGCCAGGGTCCTCCTTCTCCAATGCCAACCTGACTGTGTCCCTGCTGTGCAGCGATCCCCACGCCCACAACTGCCTTTGGGATCAAGTTCCAGCTCTCTTGGCTTCCCCAGACCCTGGTCTCCCTGCCAGCCTTATTCCTTCCTAGCACCCTGCCTCTGCCACCCTCCAGCCACATGGAACTTGTAGTTCTAGAGCGGACCATGTTCTCTTGCTTCCAGGACTCCGCATGGCCTGTCCCCATCCCATCTATCTTCCAGGTCTTATACCTAGATTTTACCTTCCCTGGGAGGCCTTCCTTAATTTTCCCTCATCCCGGTTGGGGTGTACGTCACACCATCTTAACAACTACTGGGACACTGTCCCCACCACACTGGGCTGCGAACGCTGGGAGGGCAGAGACTCTTCCTCAGTCACAGGGAGAGGCTCAAGAAATGGTTAAGAGGCTGGGCATGGTGGCGCATGCCTGTAATCCTAGCATTTTGGGAGGCCGAGGCGGGCAGATCACCTGATGTCAGGAGCTGGAGACCAGCCTGACTAACAGGGTGAAACCCCATCTCTACTAAAAATTCAAAAATTAGCCGGGCGTGGTGGCGCATGCCTTTAGTCCCAGCTACTTGGGAGGCTGAGGCTGCAGTGAGCCAAGATCGCGCCACTGCACTGCAGTCTGGGTGACAGAGCGAGACTCCATCTCAAAAAAAAAAAAAAAGAAATGGTTAATAAATGAATGAATGAACAAAATCTTAGGCACTGCTCCTTCAGGGTAAACATATTGCTGACCTCTCTTACAGGTATTAGACCAGAAAAACTACCACCAGGGAGAGAAGGGGAAAGTGAAGAAGACAGACCTAGAAGTGAAGGAGAGAAAAGCATTTTGTGGATGCCTATTTTTACAGGCTCGGAAGCTGCCATCTGTGGGAGGGGGAAAGTCCCTAGTTCATTATTATCCAACAATCGGAGAAAAAGGTACTTTTTAAGAAAGTCAGCCAACTCCCAATTCCCATGGCCTGATGTCCCTTCAGTTTCTATTTCCCTGTTCCCTCCCAGAGCTATTTTTGGGGACTTGATTTGCATATTAACTACCACCCTCACCCCAAAACTCCAACACACAATGGCAGCAACATGTATTACTATGGTTGCTTATTTTATCACATCTCATATCATCTCCGCATGCTGCTAACTTCCTTCCACGCACTATTTCATTTCAACTCCTAACAACCCTGAGGTTGAGGCCATCCTCTAGGGTCCTGGTGATGGGGGGCCTTGTCCAAGCTCACACACCGTGGGGAACTGGAAAAGCAGGATCTGCCCCTGGGCTCCATGACTTGGAGACTATGTTCTAGAAAACACAGCTGACAGAAAGCCAGGCAGCCAGCGACCAGAGAGCCACCTGCTCAGAGGGTAGAGTAGGTGGAATCGTGCACACCCCCCCCAACAATTTCTGTCCCCCTGGAACCTTAGAATGTGACCTTATTTGGAATGCAGGTCTTTGCAGATGTAACTAAAGATGTTAAGATGAAATCATACTGGATTTAGGGTAGGCCCTAAATCCGGTGACTGGTGTCCTTATAAAAAGAGAAAAGGGGCTGGGCATGTTAGCTCACGCCTGTAATCCCAGCACTTTGGGAGGCCGAGGTGGGTGGACCACTTGAGGTCACGAGTTCAAGACCAGCATGGCTAACATGGTGAAACCCCGTCTCTACTAAAAGTACAAAAATTGGCTGGGCGCGGTAGCTCACGCCTGTAATCCCAGCACTTTGGGAGGCCAGGGTGGGCAGATAGCCTGAGGTCAGGAGTTCGAGACCAGCCTGGCCAACACAGTGAAAACCTGTCTCTACTAAAAATACAAAAATTAGCTGGGCGTGGTGGTGGGCACCTGTAATCCTAGCTACTCAGGAGGCTGAAGCAGGAGAATCGCTTGAACTCAAGAGGCTGCAGTGAGCCGAGATCATGCCACTGCACTCCAGCCGGGGTGTTAGAGCAAGACTCTGTGTCAAAAGTAATCATAATAATAAAATAATAAATAATAATTAAAAATAAATAAAATAATTAACCAGGCGTGGTGGCAGGCGCCTGTAATCCTAGCTACTGAGGAGGTTGCAGCGAGCCGAGATCATGCTATTGCACTCCAGCCTGGGAGACTGAATGAGACTTGGTCTCCAAAAAAAAAAAAAAGAGAAAAGGACACATAGAGGGTAAGGTCACGTGAAGTCACAGAGGTCAGAGTGATATGCCTACAAGCCAAAGACTGCCAGCAACACCAGAGGCTGGGACGGAGGCCTGGGACAGATCTTCCCATCCCAAAGCCTCCAGGAGCCAGTCCTGCCAACACCTTGAGTTTGGGCTTCTGGTTTTTGGAACTGGTGAGAATGAGTTCCTGTTGTTGAAGCCCCCAGTTTGTAGCAGTTTGTTACAGTAGTCACAGGAAACCAGGACAGAGGACGTGTGCCCGAGTTAGCCAGGGTAGTCTGTACACCAAGTACTGTTTTTCCCTTTATGTTTCCGGGCCACACGTTTGTCCTGGACTCCAAGAAGAAAGCCGACCTCTTCAGGGCCCAAAACCACTTGGAGAAAGCCTGATTCTGCAGCCAACAACAGCGACAGCTGCTCCTTTTACTCAGAGCTCACTGATCACACCACCTGCTGTTGCTTGAGACTTTTAACGTGCCTAAGTAGTAGGCAGGGCGGGTAGGTGCAGTCTCTCCATTTTGCAGAAGGGGAAACTGAGGCCTGGGGAGGCAAGACCGCTTGCCTGAAGTCACACCGTGCCACACATTGTGGCAGGGTGACAGAAGCAGAGGGAAGTGGACACTCCTGTATGCCAGCTGTTGGGCAT